ACTCCATGACCTACTGACAGATAACGATATACTCCATGACCTACTGACAGATAACGATATACTCCATGACTTGCTGACAGATAACGATATACTCCATGACCTACTGACAATATAATAGCTTCTTCATACATATGAACAAAATTATCAATTACAGTCACACATTACTAGAATGTTTTACTTCCCTGGCGGGAGTTTATCTTTGACAAGTAAACGAGTAGTTGTGGTTCTGTTGACTGCTTATAGGGTGGCAGAGGGTGATTAATGTTCAAAGTTATTGAAAAATATACAAAGTCACTAAGGAAGTGTTTATAGATCAATGAGATGCGTTAAGCCTGACCGCTGACATTCACTGCATGTTTTTTGTGTGTGTTTTCAGAATATGCCATTGCTAATCTTGAAGGAGTGACGTCATCAGTAATACCAAGATATTACAATTCGTCTTTGGTAAATCGTCCATTAGCACTTCTGATTCCAGCTGTAAACCGACAGTGGGCGGGACTCTTAGGTGGCGCCCTCTATAAATTTCGGCTAATAGCAGATCCAATGGATGGTGGTGAATCAGGTTATGCTGACGTAATTATAGAGACAAATAATCCGCCAATAGAAGGTAGACTTCAGGTGAGTTGCATTCTGGAGTTTATTATCTGATAGCAGTAACTAAAATTTGCCAGATTTGATGAAAGATAATATTGAACTTCAAAGTAAACATGTAAACATAAAAACTAATGGATACTATTTCAAAAATTTAAAATCTATTTTGATTTTTCTAGGTGGAGCCACTCACTGGTTTTCCATTAACTACACCTTTTACTCTGGATGCTACAGAAGGTTGGGTAGATTCTCCTGACGACTATTCACTGACGTATATCTTTTCATATAGCCTATCTGAAAATGACGTTGATACTCCTATCATTAGTCTTAGTGGAGCGCCCTCTATTGTAGAAAACGTTATTTTTCCTGGAGGTAAATAATTGTTGTATAACTGTATTTTTAAATGCTTGTTACTTAAGTAAAAATGTCTCTGAGCCCCAGAACAAATAACAATTTATATTTCTTTCTCTATAAATATATGTGTTTGTGTATGTGTGTTGTATCTGAGCAATTTTGTTCAGTTAGAAATGAAAGATATTTTCACAACATTTTAATAGTTTGAAACGTATTAGTGGATCTTTGATCTTCCTTATCGGATTAAGAGGTAATAATAAAATGCAGTATACGAACTAAAAACAAGAGACGTGCTTTGTGATAACAATTTTCTTCTTCTTATCAACTTCTATAAGGAAACCATGAAAAGGCGGGACTTTTAACATGTTAAAATGAATGAACTGTAAATCAGTTCTAAAATATCTGCTAAAAATTGGTTTAATCATGTTAAATTTCCACTTTTTTATCAGCCTCGAAAAACATAAAAAGTTACGCGAATATTTCTAAATCTGAATTCCATCTTAAGTATTCGAATACCAAGAACTAACTTTGTGGCAAATGTAATATTTCATATCAACACCATCTCGTAGGCTAACTGAAACTTTATTTTTGATTGAAGACGTTAAGCCATATCACAGTGGCTCAGCGGCAAGTCCGAAGGTTTATAATGCTATAAGTTGGGTTTCGATACCCTTGGTGGGCACAGCACAGATATACCCATTGTATAGCTTTGCGCTTAATAACAAATAAACGTTAAAGGCTTGAAGCTAAAGATTTAGTAATTGTTTGTTTTTTATAGCTTACTTCTCCATATTTTGCTTAATTAGTAACTTTATGCTTGATTTATATGATAAAAAATAAACTTTTTATATGGAATTTAACCGATTGTTTAATTTGTAACAGTTCCAGGCCAGACTACTGAAGTTATAGTTCAAGTCAAAGTATGTGACATTTGGGAGTCATGCAGAATCGCCAAGAAAAAAGTATCCATCCAAACCTTGCCTTTCTTATCAGCAGATGGCTTCGATCTGATAAATAAAACCGTACTGGAGTATGTGAATCAAGGTAATCTAGATATTTCAGCATATATTTTTTATCAATTTGAATATATTTGAGCTGTTAATTAACAATAT